TATGTATAAGCCAGATATAAGTAAGCAGTGAGTTATACTTCAGGCACTAATTGTGCCTGGGGTCTGCACAGTTCTCCTTCCTCAGTGCCCATGGGGGGTGTTACCCGCACTCTGTCGCCCAGGCTGGAGTGCAGTGGTGCAGTCATGGCTCACTGCAGCCTCAAACTCCTAGGCTCATGGGATCCACCCGCCTCAGCCTCCCAAGTAGACGGGACCACAGGTGCACACCACCCCGACTGGCTAATTTTATATTTTTCTTTTCCGGGTCTTGCTGTGTTGCTCAGGCTGGTCTGGATCTCCTGGGCCTGCACCCCCATTCTCCCCGTACCCCATGCCCAGCCGTTGTTATTTCTTAGAGAAGCTTTGCTCAGGCTTGTTGGCCGAGTTGCTGTTGGCCATGAGCTCAGGGTTAATGAGTTGACAATATGTATGGAATTGGTGTCTTGAAACAGAAATACTGCACAGAGGTTATGTGTTGATTAGCTGGTGAAGAGGCTGTGCGCAGAGGCTCGCAGGAGCCTCACCTGCACCTCTCCCAGGAGCAGTGTCTCTCAGCGTCCACTAATGCAGCGTTCACGGCGACCACATGGGGCAAACTACAGGAATAACCAGAATGGACTGGTCTCCCGGAAGTCCTGCTGTGTGTCCTGCGCGTGCAGAGCTGTGGGCTCCCTTGTTTGCTGCTGCTGGCCTGAGCCGCTATGCTTGCCCCCTTTCAGTGCACGACCTGCGACAGCAGATGACAGCCTTGCAGAGCCAGCTGCAGCAGGTGCAGCTGGAGCGTGCGACGCTGACCAGCAAGCTGAAGGCGTCGCAGTCAGAAATCTCGTCCCTGCAGAGTGTCCGGCAGTGGTACCAGCAGCAGCTCGCCCTGGCGCAGGAGGCCCGCGTCAGGCTACAGGGCGAGATGGCCCACATCCAGGTATGGCCGCAGTCTACCTTCCAGGGCAGGCCACGCTTCCTGTCTTTGTGTGGAATGGGGCTTTTTCCCAAGATGTTTCTGTTTTTAGAGTTCACACATGTGTTTTTGCTTTTAACCTATCTATCCCACCCCATGTCCCATGTAGGACATGTCCCTTGGCCTACCGCACGACCTTCTGACACGGGCGTCCCACAGCCTCTGCTGACATTTTCAATTCCAAAGCCTGTCTCTCTGGGCATGGTGGCACGTGCCTGTAAATCCCCCTCTCCCACCCCAGGCTCCCCACTCTGCAGTGACATCTCACAGGCGTGCGGTGCCACAGGGGTTCTCTTCCTGGTTGGAGCTTTTCCTTTCTCTGCTGCCTGAGCTCTCAGTGACACACAGGGCACATCTTTCCAGCGTGGCTTGCATTTTCTATGTCCTGTAGGAAACATGTTCCTCGCCCGTCCGCTCATTAGTGGGCACAGCCTGTGTCCACCTTGGTCCTGCCTATGTGGGAGCATGTGTTGGTCCAGGCCTGCCCCATGGCCCACAGCAGCTGCTTAGCGTGCTGGAGATGCCCGGACCGACTGGCAGGTGCTCAGGAGCACCTTGATCTGAATCCCGGCGGCTGGACTAATTTAGACTCGACCTTGAAGATGCTGAAGAGCACTTTTGGTCAGCCTCCATGTTTTTGTTTTTGGGGTTTCTGAGACTGTGTCTCACTCTGTCACCAGGCTGGAGAGCAGTGGTGCGATCTGGGCTCACTGTAGCCACAACCTCCGAGGCTTGAGTGAACCTCCTACCTCAGCCTCCTAAGTAGCTGGGATTACAGGCGTGGGCCACCGTGTCCGGCTAATTTTTGTACTTGCAGAGGTGGGGTTTTGCCATGTTGCCCAGGCTGGTCTTGAACTCCTGGGCTCAAGTGATGCCTGCCGCAGCCTCCCAAAGTGCCGTGATTATAGGCCTGAGCCACTGTGCCTGGCCTGTTACTTTTTTATTAGCTGTGGGATTTTTGTTTCTAGATAAAATATTATTGATTTATTAAAGCTGTTTCTCCAGAGAGGAATGTGAAATACTAATTCCACCAAATGTTCCTTTTATATCTAGAGTTTACAAATATATACAATAGAAGTTTTGTTCAATTTTTATTACCTTTTTTTTTTTTTTTTT